TTCATCGCCAGTGACACTAATTACCAAGAATTAAAAAAACAAGTGAAATTAAGTCGCATCGGAAAAAAAACCTGTAAATAAATCGAAGTAAAAATTATTCAACTGCAGACGAGACGGACGAGGAAAAAACGAACCCTGACCTCTAGAAATACCTCATTCATAGTGCATCATTACCGAGGAACGCCACCCTAAGGCGACGTAACGCATGTAGTGACATCACAACCGATGCATGCTGGGTTACAACGGAGATTTTGATTGAGGTAACAAAGATGGCGGCGCAGAGTGCATGTTTTTCCACGATGTTTAAAAACAACATTTCGTTGGCGATTTTGATGTAATTTCTAAGTTAATCATCAATGAATCGTTTTAATTAAGCAAACATTCTAAGTTTGTGTATTTTTAAACAAAAAAGTCAGGAACCGATGATCGCAACAGCAGTGGTGAATACCCGTTCAACGCAATGCCGTCAGCTGAAAATGTTACGGTGATCGTAGCGTTACACAAATAATAGATAGATCAATGAAAAATCGCTGACTTTAGTTTTGAAATGCCGTTATAGAAAAAAAAATGTCATTATTGATTTATTAATTTCTTCATACAGATTTTACAAATTTAACAAACAAATGTAAATTAGCCACGATGCTTGGCTTAGAGTCTGGGGAGAACACTGAAACTACTACAAACGGTCAACAAATGTTGCAGTCAAAAGAGAATACACGTAACTATTAACATTAAAAGCGTCATGGATCGGAAATTGTCGGCAGTCAAGTTATGATTTCTTGAAAAATGTAATAATTTCTAACATTAAATGTGGAGAAACTGGTTGGCTGAAAGGTCAACTAACAGATGTGATGAATTGCACATGTCTATTGACTCGTCACTGAAACTGCGCAACTCTTGTATTATATTCACATAATATTTAATTTTCCGTACTAACGCTACGCCCACTTTTTAGCGGCAACACACATAGTACATCAAAGAGATTAGGTGAAGAAAAGAATAAGCCGATTAACTCTCCTAAAACAAAATGTTTTTTTAATACTTTAATCTTGATATTCATCCTATGTTGGTAGGTCCATGGGAGGAAGTATTTAAACACCTTTTACGGTCGCCAACAGGTCACACCGTTCACACTTCTTTCACGATAGTCTCAAAGTAAACGATTAAATAAAACCATGTCCAATAACCAGGTACACGACTTGACGATCACATTTTTGGCTTTTCGAAAGCTATACTACTCAAAGAAATATGAATTACTTCAGTATTGCAACATCGGGGTTCATCCTGAGTAAATGACAGGATAAAAAGGATGCGCACCACGTTGTGTACGTTCGCCATGCACTATAAAATAATGCGAGTTTTCTCATAAAAGCATGAACCAAACTACCGAACCAATCACGATTATTTTGAAATGAAACATTTTTCACAAGCATATATTTTAAAGAATATCATTGACGCCAGAAAAAACATGCTGGACTTATAATTGTGAATGCCCTCAACTCGATGAATGTCTAAAAATAGAGGAATGGGCTTATAATCGGGGAGGGGCTTATGATCGGGGGAAGTACGGTACTTTAACGCAATTGGGCTTCCACTGTCAGAATACTGTGGTTCAAACGCATAATGTTCTAATCAAAGTTCTAAAAAGCACATTGTGTATATAAAAGTTGAGTTTATACTAGTAGTACACAATGCTGGGCAGCATGAATGGCTATGTACAATGGTGTATACGCATGTGATCAGATACTAAAACGTCATAGCATTGAAAAGTACCCGGATGTTAAATATGTTCGTTTGTTATTTATCCCCTCCATGAATGGCCTCCATGGTGTTTAATTGTAAGCATTTCAAATGCCTATCCAAGCTAGTTAAAATTAAACCATTGCAATTTTATTTCAAATTCAGTTTAGAATATACACAACTATAAATTACGGCCGCATTGAGGTTCGCTTTAAGTTCCATTACATTCTGATTAAAATAAGACCTTAGTTTAGCCTTTATTTATTTAATTTTACTTTTTTTTTCAAATATATAATATATTCATTCATTCTTCATAAATTTTGATTTATTAAAGTAGTAAAGTTAAATTGGTAATTGGTAAGCTCACAACATTTGAAATAATAGACAATGAGTTGTATGCAATAATAAAAATTCCAAACTAAAAAAAAAAGTACAAATTTAATAAAATAAAACATAGTCCCTGTTCAGTTTTTAGTAAAAGTTGGGGGAGTATTCAGCATGCTAACCCACCGTAAGTGATGTCAATGTCAATGTCAAGTTTGATTGAAATCTGTCCAGGCATGCATTTAAAAGAATGGTTGCTCGTCAAGTGAATTTTGTTTTTTGTTTACATCAGTGATATCGTTATTTCAATAATGTTTTTAATATTTAATACGCATTTAAAATGTATTCAAATTTATTAGGAATGATACAATTAACCCATTCGTAACCAGTCACAGTTTGTACGTTTCTAGACAAATGTTACACTCAACCAACAGAAATTTAAGTATGCGGGAGTCCAACTCTGGAATAACGTTGACCTCGCTGATAACTAGCTGATAAAATATTCAAACAAGACCAACACAGCTCAATTAAAAAAATATATTTTTAAAAATTTGTCTTTGAACAAAATTTGTTCAGGTATGTTCGAGAAATGACAAAGAACACACAGCATGGACGGAAAGACACACTGACAGAGAGAACACACAGCATGGACGAAAAGACACACTGACAGACAGAACACACAGCATGGACGGAAAGACACATTGACAGACGGAACACACAGCATGGACGGAAAGACACACTGACAGACGGAACACACAGCATGGACGGAAAGACACACTGACAGACGGAACACACAGCATGGACGGAAAGACACACTGACAGACGGAACACACAGCATGGACGGAAAGACACACTGACAGACGGAACACACAGCATGGACGGAAAGACACACTGACAGACGGAACACACAGCATGGACGGAAAGACACACTGACAGACGAAACACACAGCACTTAAGTCCCCCTTTTGAACTTTGTACGATGAGGAAGAAAAAAGTACATGCTGTGCAATATACTGTCTCATGACAATCTAGGTCAGACATTAACAATCCTTATTTACTGAATTTACAACTTTCATGATCCCGTATTTAGATCATTCGATACAGGAAAACTGCTTGTGTATGTACTGTGATTGCGAGCTATGAAAGCTATATCTACACCATATCCATACAACATATACCATATACATTTGCACCTTATAGTGCCATTACAAATATATGCTGTTGTTTCAAGAGACTGATGTTTCATTTCAGTTAATAAATTTAATCCCATTTCTGGCACTTATTTATAGATTTT